TCAGACCAGTCAGCCACCTCAGGCTGGGCAAACTCAGGTGCAGGGGTGGTCCATTCGCCCTGGAACTCCTCCTTTCCAACACCAGCCTTCTCAGCAGCAGCCTGCTCCTCCTTCTCAATCTACAAGCACATAATAAGCATTAGTGAGTGTATCAGCAGGATGTATGCCTCATGCACTTGGTTCTAGCCACTTCAGTACTTTTAGATAAGGAGTGTGCCAGTCATACCTCTTCAGGGTCCCTGTAGAAGTACAAATCTGGCATGACCTCCCATGGGTGCTCCCTGGAGATGGTTCCCCTCATCCTGAGGACCTCCCGGGCCAACATCCACCACATCAGACCCACAGAGTGGTGACCCTGAAACAGACAAGTAGGGTCAAATCCAAACCTGTAGGGGCTGCACTGCGATTCATTACATTCAAAAAGGCATAAAGCTGTAGAAAAGAGTTTGTGGTAAGACCTCAACTCCAATTCCCTGGTGTGGTTCAGAGAAAAGAAGTTGGCGATCAGGCACTTTTATTTAGCACACATTCTACACCACACACTGCACAGACAAAACAGCAGGGCTCTAGCTGTGTGTGCAAAGACTCATTCATCATTGTTTTAAACTAACTGAATTTTACCTTGTTGTTACAGGGGATGGCAATGTCCACATATCTCAGCGGGGAGTCAGTGTTGCACAGGGCAATGGTGGGGATGTTTACGTATGAAGCCTCAGTCAGTGGCTGATGGTCAGCACGAGGATCTGTCACAATCAGGAGGCGGGGCTCCCTGAAAGCAGCCTGGATCTGATTAGTGAATGTACCAGGGGTGAAACGACCATGGAAGGTAGTGGCACCAGTGGCAGAGGCGAACTTCAGCACTGCTCTCTGAAACAGACAGTACAGGTTTTACTTGAGATCGCAACAGAAATAATAACTTAAGATTTTTAAAAAAAGAACTGTGGCTCAGGTTACTATCAAACCCCATTCATGGGACAGTTGTCCTTATGGTGTTAGCGAATCCCGGCCTGATTACTCTTGCACACTTCCGACACCTGAACACCAACGCAAGTGCCAGGTTTTAACAGTGTGCACATAACAACAATGAGTCAGTTTTACCAGAACTTTACCTGGCCAGTGTTTCTGGAAGAGATGACACACACATCAGCTGGGTTCTCAATGGCAACAATGGCCCTGGCTGCCAGCAGCAGCTTCTCCCAGGTCTTCTTCAGGTTAATGATGTACACACCTAGTGAGCAAAACACGACAAGTTTTGTCATTTGCATGTAAATCCGCAGAAGGGACAAAGTAATCAAAAAGCTCCATCGTCATAGCGCAGATGACTGCTACACCACTCACCGTCGCTTTTTCTCTTGTAAACGTACTGCTCCATCTGGAAGTCCAAGTTGGTACCTCCCAGATGGGTTCCCGCTGCTAGGAACTTCAGCACATCCTCCTCCTTCATTTGAAGGACATCCAGACCTCCGGACATCGTGACCGCTTTCCCTGCGTTACGAGTTAGTGGGAGAGCTGCGGGGAAAAAAGTAGACTTAGAAAAACTACAAGCTGCAAAAGAGACAAAAATAGTACACCCACGACCAGACAAGAAGCATCCAAAAAATTAGATTTACAAGAGTGCATTTCTAATCAGACACAAAACAGCAAAAACCCATTGCTGAGCACAAGAACAGTAGCTCTTAGCAAAGTGAAGATGCTCCCTTAGTGTGTGCTCTTGCAGCAGGCCACAACGGAGACATGTTCACCCCACAAACGCGCATGTGTCAAGTCAATTTAGCCTCCGGATTAAATCATCAGCCATTTAGGGAGCGCAAACGATATGCAGATCTCGTTAGGAAGGTCGGGAAAAACATAACTACGAGGGGTGAAGGCGCAGAAGCTCGTATCTTACTTAAAGGAAGCTAAGCAGCAACGCGGGGATTAAGTTGAGGTATCTTGGATGCAAAAGGCCGCTTGGAGCGTAAAAAGTCACGATAACTCATGTGTATGGTTGCCATCGTCTTCAGATATCAATTACAATCATATGAAATCTCGTCACTGCCGCTGTTCATTGGATGGAGGCGAGGCGCACGAGAAACAGAGGAAGAGCGCGTGTCAGCAGCTAGCATGTTAGCTACAAAGGTTAGCATCATGAATGCGTTGAAAATTAAGAAAATTAGGGCACGGTAGTCTGCGCCTGTCTACCCCACGGTATATGTTCTTTGTCCTCGGTCATAACTTTACGAATTTTGACTATTTCTTTCGATTTAAAATGACTAAATAGGCCGGTTTAAACTCACCACGAAACAACGCCGTATGGAAATCTGACCACACGGTGAAAAAGAGGGCGCTTGAAGGAAATGACGTTATTTTTATACCAAATTTCCAAGCGTGTGATTGGCTGGTTAAACCGAAGGCGGGGAGGAGGTGAAAAATGAGAAACATCCGCATTTTCGCCACTAGGTGGAGTTTTAATTCCACGTGCTTCAATGGTAGGAGCAGAGGTAACCAGAGGTGGGCTCACGGGTCGGATGGGTATCCCATATTAAGACAATGGAGATGGAAAGACCATATTAAGACAATGCTGAGACGCTGACTTCTCGGTGAAAGACTGACCTGTGTTCCTAACATATTTGCCAGAGATAAAGTGTTCCAGGCAAAGGGATCATAATATGTACACGATTGTGAAATTGTTTTAGTGAAACGTATCTTGTGTGTGAAACGTATCTTGTGTGTAGAGAGCTCTGCTGTTGTTCCCTCTTTGAAATGGTCCTATATTTGAAATTAAATTACAATAGATTACCGAGGCAATACACAGACAGAACAGACAGCTGATTAGTTTTCTGTGGGACTAATGGGCTCACCGAAAAATGGGGTTTGGGTACATTTCAAGGGCATTAGAGGTGATGGACATGGGCCAGATGCCTGAGATGTTTTGGAGCTGTTTTCTGGGAATGTGACCTAAATGACTGGGATGTCAACACCCCTCACAATCATTGGATTTCCTTTTTTAAATAACTTCATAACCAAAGCAGTCCAACACACATGCAATAAAATATTTTCACAACCCCCTACCAAAACAAAAGCCAATTCTCATGGCTGTAGAAAAAAGGCACAAAACAAAAACAGACTCTGAAAACAGTGCCGTGTAACTTGAGAGCACCAAATAATACATAACTTTAACAAACAGCATAATTGGACATAATTGTGACATAAAGTCAAACACTATAAGTCGCCGACTCTCAGCTTGTACATGACTGAAGTATGCAACTTGTTAAAATGATTTTTAATATGATGAAGTATTTCAAACATGATCGATCACCCCTAAATATGAGTGGAAAAGTCATAAATCAGGTCTGTTAAGTGTGTTCTGTATATCATTTATAGATGCTGATCTACAAAGCCAACAGTTTTCTAAATTCATTAATTCAGTTGTTTATTTCAGCCTAAATAGCCTTCTTACTTTAGACTGACAGTGCTACACTCTTTGTACCGTCCTATTTCATGTCGTGCCACCCCTCCCTGTGCACTGGTACAGCGCTTATCTCTAACAGCCCTCATGTTCTTGCAGTGCGTGACAATATTCTGAGCAACAGCTTTGTAATCATTTAAAAACACTCCTATTTTTTTTATAGTTTTACACCTGAACTCTCACAGCTGATTATTCTTTTATACACCTCAGTTAATGAAAGGAAAGAGTACACAATCATGCATGTCAGGGGCGTGTTCTTGTGTTAATAGTGCTCTTATTTTTGTCAAGCTGATCTGAGCACTAAATTAAGAAAAATATGTACACTCACCAGTCCTTTTATCAGACACTGCTTGTTAACACAAAAATATCTAATCAGCCAATCAAATGGCAGCAACAGGGTACAATTTGTCTGGGCTCACCAAAATGAGCAATAGAAGAGTCTGATTTGTCTGTTTCTTCTGCGCAGTCTGATGGTAGGGTCAGAATTTGGTATGAAAAGCATGAAAGCATGGATCCATTCTGTCTTGTGATATGAAGGCTATTTTCATGGCCCCTTAGTACCAACTGTGCATCATTTTAATGCCACAGCCTGTTGTTACTGACCATGTCTATCCCTTTATAACCACAGTGTACCAGTCTTCTGATAGCTGCTTCCCAAAGGGATAACACACACCATGCCACACATTTCAACTTTTCATGAACATGACAGCAAGTTCACTGCACTCAAATGGCTTCCAGTCACCTCATTATGGAGCAACATCTCTGAGGGAGGTTTTCTGCAACCTGTTGCAGAATTAATGCCGTTATGAAGGCAAAAGGGTCCAGCCTGGTACTAGCTTAGGTGCACATAACAGAGTAATCAGTACTGAACTCAAGCTTAAAATTCAGGCATGACTTTTGGTCCATCCATCCATTCGCTTCCGCTTGTCCTTTTCAGGGTCGCGGGGGGCGCTGGAGCCTATCCCAGCTGTCATTGGGCGAGAGGCGGGGTACACCCTGGACAGGTCGCCAGTCTGTCGCAGGGCCTACACACAGGGACAGACAACCATTCACACTCACTCGCACATTCACACCTAGTGGCAATTTGGATTATCCAATTAACCTATCCCCACAAGTTGCATGTCTTTGGACGGTGGGAGGAAGCCGGAGTACCCGGAGAGAACCCACGCAAACACGGGGAGAACATGCAAACTCCACACAGAAAGACCCCGGCCTGATGGTGGAATTGAACTCAGGACCTTCTTGCTGTGCGGCAACAGTGCTAACCACCATGCCACCCCTTCACCCATTCACACACACATTCACACACTGGTGATGGCAAGCTACATTGTAGCCACAGCCACCCTGGGGCGCACTGACAGAGGCGAGGCTGCCGGACACTGGCGCCACCGGGCCCTCTGACCACCACCAGTAGGCAACGGGTGAAGTGTCTTGCCCAAGGACACAACGACCGAGACTGTCCAAGCCGGGGCTCGAACCGGCAACCTTCCGATTACAAGGCGAACTCCTAACTCTTGAGCCACGATCGCCCCTGAAAATGACCAAAATGATGAAATTTTCCAATAACTTTATTTTGTTTGACATGTTTAAAAAGTGAAAACGTCTGCATGAAAAACCACTTTTAACAAATATCAAAAAACTCCAAAGACATTTTAAGGCAGATGAATTTTTGGCAAATGCACATGTCAAGTGAGCACACACTTAAATAAAGTATCAGAATATAAATAACACTGTTACACATGGAGACTCACAATCTTGTCTTTAAGAAGCTCTCTCGATTTTGAACATATGCTGAGGTTAAAGTGCATAAGTCTGGGCTTAATCTGGCTCACTGCCTGTAGTAGTCGTGGGCTGAGTCATTGCACACAGCATGCAAACATCTGAGGCATTGGAAATCCCACTCAGAGCAGGGTTTTCCCTGCCATTCAAAGAGTTTTAGAACACTAGAGAGACACAGACATTGTTTCTGCATACAGTCCAAATCTTATTTGTAGCCCTACAACAGCCAGGCTAGTGTGTAGTGAACATTTCCCAGTTAATCTGCACTCAAAAGCATTTGATCTGCCAAGTTTAACCTGCAGATTGCGAAGACTCCTAAATATGTGGAAGTGAATTTACAACAAGAAGGAAGAAACCATTTGTCACAAAAAGCCCCCCAGGAGCACATGCAAAACTCTGAAGGGATTTCTCAAACATGGTCCAAATAGTTGGAGCAAAATCACCAAAGTTTGTGTAATTAGTAGTGCAGTAGAAAAATATCAGAGCATTTTTGTGTCATCTTGAAAGTCTTTTTAAAGTTATATTGCACATTCTGACCTTCAGACACACCCAGTAAGACACTAAATGTACAGGAGACCTCCCACATGTCTCTTAGACTCTGAGTGAAATCGGTCACTGAAAGCTTCTGACACGCTAACGAGCACTGCAGTAGTTCCAGTTCCTTCCTGTGCGCTCATTCACTGCAACTCCATCTATATCTCTTCTTCCTTTTACAACATTTTCAACATTGATCACTTTCAGGACTTCAGCCCGATGTGCGCCATCATTTGTTCATAAACGGTCCACGCCATGGCCGCCATCATGGTCCTCCTCAGAGACCGAGGAACGGCCCCTCTGAAGAAGCCCTGGAGTCCATATTCCTTAGAGAGTGAGAGCAAAGTGAGGCATGCAGCTGATTAAACCAGCTTATTCAACACGATACATGGAACGCAATTTTAAAACCACAGCAGAGCAAGAAGGAAGATTGAGACAGCTACCATATAGATGTATCTGATGGCCTCTGCTGTCTTGAGTTGTGGATTCACTTGGACATGTGTTTTGACCACATCAGCAGGCTGAGTGATGAGGGAGGCCAACACGCCAGCCAGAACCCCGCAGCTGAAGTTAGCCACAGGAGCCGCAGGAGACGTGCTGATCTCTAAAAGGAAGATAGGCCAGCATGTGTATTTAAATGAACACCAAGAAGAACTCCAAATGCGAATATTTCTCGTTCTTAAGCTACTAAATGTCTCTCTGAGTCCATACTTACCTTTGGGGAGTGAGGCTTTGGTCTGGCTGTAGAACATGACGTAGATGCCGGAGAAAGGAACGTCTCTGAGGAGAGTGGCCATGAGGCCGGAGAACAGAGCCGCGGGACCTTCAGTTTGGCACACGCTGCGCAGAGCCCCTATCACACTCCCGTAACTGTACCTGCCACACTGAAACACAAAGACGTCTGGTTCAGTTCATGCATAAAACAGCACAATATGAACGCAACGCTAAAGTGAAAGCACGCTGCACAGGTCAAACAATAATATCAATGAAGTAAACATTTGTCTACATATACGTTTTCTTCACATACAAGCTGCACAGATGCATTTTTGTTTTAAAGAACTTCTTTCACTTCAGAAGAATAATCAATTGAAATTATACCAAATTCTATCTATTTTTTTAACACAGTATTATAGAAACATATTCTATTTATTTTAGGCTTTTCAAAAAATCTTATATTCATGAATTACTTCATGTAAGTACACGCAGAAGCTCTGGGGTTTGTGAAGAGAGGGTATCTGACACACCCTTTTCACCCTTCTTCCACATACAATGAAACGACTGAGCTCCGCCTACTTCAGTCAGAGTCATTATCAGAGTTACACGTGACTGAGGTCTATAAAGAACAGGCTATAAAACACATACACCAAAAAGGCAACACTGGTGCTATGAATAAAGCAACTGAGAAATATGCAGCAGAAAATCTACACTGCTGTATCTATAGTTAGTACGCGCTGACTCAGCAGGAAATCCATAAATCACTTATCAGCACTAATCAGCGAATACACAGAGCCACGAGACAATTTTAAACCTAAACTGAATATAACCTGCTCCAGACAGATTATGTGTTCAGCACCAGGTTTCCATGGCAACCTAGAGAGCCACCAGGTGACATTGAAATCTCCGACTTGAAGTTCGACATACCTCACTAACCAATTAACCTCGCTTCGTAGTACACCCCCTCTGGACACTGCTTACTTCAAAACGTGTCTTGACGACAGTAACCGGCAGCATCACTACCCCCGCCACCGTCCGGGCTCCGCCCCCCAGCAGCACAGCCTCCGCGGCCCCTGGGCATCTGTCCTGTAAGAAGTGCTGCTTCAGAGAGTAGTAGGTGCTGAAGTAGATCCCAACTCCTGGGATGGTCCGGACGAAGGACTAAAGGAGCAGACGGAGGAGAGAGACTGTCAGATGCATGGTGGCTCACACAGCAGGAATTTGTGACTAAATCTGTACACGAGGTAGACTCGAGTATACAGAAGCTCTAACCGGTGAAACTCCTTTCCAGAGTCCCAGCAGCCTCTCTGTCCGCACCACACTGAGGAGCACCGACACCATCCCCACTCTGCCCGAACTGAAGAAACAATACAGGCATCAGATAAGATGACCGAAAGCCAAAAACAGTCAACGCTGCTGCTATGTGTGCGGCCTATAAAGGTCAATCAATGTCATGCTTTTTGAGTTCACCCAGTCAATAAATAAATAAAATCAGCTTTTGGATCTTATGAGACAGGAAAGCATGCGACACTGACAACTGTGCATGCACACTCACCCAGGCTGCACGCCGGTCTGCAGAGTCTGCAGACGGGTCTTGACCAGGTCGAGAGGCTGGAACAGCAGCGTGGAGCAGGTTCCACTGAGGGAGCCACACATGAAGGCTTTGATGGCCGGGTGCACCTGAGGGTTGTGGGGGAGGGGGGCAAATTTCATTTGCATTTCTAGTTAAAATCCTGACTGTCATGACTATGCCTACAAAGCATATTTCTGTCTCTTTAATGCACACTTACAACAACAAACTACTTAGATGTAATCGCCACTGACAGTGACTCTATTAAACCATGTTTATATTTTGTAAATAAATAATTTAATACCACTTCAATATTCCAACCGTCTTTTCCCCTATAACGCCCAGCCTCACAGTACCATTCACATGTGATGTAACAACAGAGTTTGCTCCCTCAGCTTAATGACTCAGCAGCTCTTATTCACCTTAACCGCCGTCAGACTCTTAGACCGTGGATTAGTTAATCAGTATTTCAAAAAGTTATCAGTCAGACAGGACGCCCTGATCTCAAGTTACCTAATAAGGATGTACGCACTGATAAGGATGGAGCTTCTGATGTAACAAAACGGAGATCTAATACTCACCACTAAAAGTTCCATGTTTCTTCTCGAGGGTCACTTCTCAAGACGTTTTTGCAATACACTAAACCTTCTGGCTTCCTCCCTTCGTTGCCGTCCACTGAAATGTCTCCCTCTGATTAGAGGGAGAAAGAGTAGTTACTCACACTGGCCTTCCAGGAGCAGGGATGGAGAGATGGTGAGGGAGCGCAGCTCTGCTGTCTGAATGAGGGGACAGTGCGCACACAGAATAGATAAAGCTTGCCTGACCAACATCGTGTGTCCTATTTGCCCCCACCCGATACACAAGGCCACTCATTAACTGACCAAAGATCAGCATGCTACAAATTAGGATAGACCCGGTGCATGAGACACTGCTGCGTGTCCTTCACGAGACTGTGAAGAGCGTGAGCGAGTACGTCAAAAGTAAAGACTGTTCGCACTTGTTTTGAGCACAGTGTCCAAAAACAGTTCCACAGTGTACATAAGAGACACAGCTAGCGCTGGAAAGCCCTGTGAGCTGGCATTCTGCACTTAAGTGTAAGCAAAGAAAACACTGGCTGTCCTTAGAAATAAAACCCTTACATCACTGTTTGCATTTTTTTCAACATAAGATGTTGAGATGATGAAATACAGCACAGGGTGATAAAGAGAATGAAGCACCATCAGGTAGGAGGGAGAAGCATGCATAAAATTAATAGGAAACAAACAACCGTAGACTGTGCCGTGATCTCATTCTCAGGAATATTTCGGCACACACAATTACTTTAAATCTCCAATTTCTATGTGTTCCACATGTGTGTTAAGATTCATTTACTGTTTATCCAGGGCTTCCAAGCAGGCTGCTTTGATGATCAGAAAATAATAAGCACTTATTTAAGATGAAAGAAAATTAAAATACATCCAAATTAAGCCAAGAGCCAGAGACATATAAAACAAGTTATAAAGACAGAGATATAACACTGTTTGATATGCTAAATAACATTAAAAATAAAAAAAAAGAAGTAAAGAAGACCGAGGAGGGATCCTTGTGGAACATCTGTACTACTGGGCTTTCAGACTAAAATCTAAGGTCTGAAGATAATAATGTAATTTCATCTACATGGAGCTAGCACACATCCCTTCCAGTCGAATTTACTGATTTTACTTGAATCACTTAAGTCATGCAAATCATGCAAAGTTGTGGATTTTATGCATAATAAAAACGCCAAAAACAAGATACTGTAACCCAACAATCTAATTACACCAACAGTTTTTATAATCGTGCCAAAGACCAGATGTGCTGATTTTTGCGTTTAAAATATATTTCGTCTTCCCACTATGGCTTTTATATTGAAAAGGGGGCCTACTTCAGGTGTCTCCTTCGACTTTCCGCAGGACTGCTGACAGATTAGCTGACAACACGTTTTCAAAAACATTTAACATTTTTTTTTTTAAAGAGCGCGTTGATGAAAATCGTGTGTGTAATGTTGTGTATTGAGGCTCTGCTGAGCTCTCCCTCTAACGCACCTTTAACTATAGTCCACCAATTGTTTTTCTCTCCCCGCCGAAGTCCAAATAAATAACACCAACGAAGTTACGCTTGAGCGCAAATTCTTCTAATTGACTACTCTAAGCAGGGTGAAGACAAACCTCACCACCACTCCCCACTAAAGAGCTGCAATGTACCACCAAACCTGACAGCCGCCTCTCTATCTCTCTGCGATAAGCCCAAACCGGCCGGTTCCTGTTCTCAGACGCAGCGTGTCGAAACTACGCAGAAGCACCGCCCATCTGCGATACAGCCTTCTGATTGGTTAAACAGCTTCTGGCTGTGACGTGCGCAAGATAAGGGCGCCTCTCCGGGAAGCCAGGGTGAGTAAAAAGAAAAAAAGATTATTTTTTAAGTTAATCAGTAATTTAATTTAAATTTAACTTAAAAAAAATTACAATGTATTTATTTAAACGGAACGAAACATGTTTTGAGTTTTAAAATAAGCTTTTTATTGAAATGAAACTATACCAAATAAATTTAAAACAAAAATGAGTGAGGTAATTTCCCCCCTAAATTAGAACCAAGTCAATTGTAGGATAGATAGTATAATAAAAAAGTGAAATACACAAAAGTACAACTAGCAGTCATTTAGCCAACAGCAGTACTTTTGTAGTATTTTCACAGTCAACTGTTTAGGACTCTAATTTACACATAACCTTTCTCTCCTTTTAAGTTACCGTCTATTAGTGTCTAAACTAGAAATAAAATAATATCTTTCATCCACGTTTACTCTTACTCAGTTAAACCGGTTCTGACCTGCTTTTGCTCCTCCTCACGAGCATGATGGAAAACCCTGGCTGCCGTCTGCTGGTGGGGACGCAACACTTTATAAATAACAAATGTGATCCACCACTGAGCTGTCTGGTTCTGACCTTCAAACTTAACCCTTGTTCTTTCAGTGTGAACTCTGATGTAAACAAAAGAGTAAGCATTAGGGGGAAAAAAAAGAAAAAAGAAAAACGCAGACAGACAACACGTGGCAGTTTAGAAAGCATCTTTAATCGTAATAATTCCAACATTTCACAACATGATTTCCATTCCAGAGGTGCAGACAGAAAAACATGACAATAATCGAGATGCAGTTTATTTTTTCTCCTCCCCCCCCCCCTCTTTTGGATTTCCTTTAAGTGCTAAAGATGTGATTGTTTAAACTGTGAGCCGTAAGTCTTAAGTTACGACACATTCCTCTCACTTTCCAGCAGTGTGAGCCAAAAGCTACCTCGGGCACAGCTTGTTGGGGTTTCTCCATCATTTAGACACAGACTGCTCGTTTATCTGATACATCTACTCAGAACCTGGCGTATATGACATCTTAAAGGCCAGTCAGACTTTAGCATACAAGTGATAAATTACAATCCGTATCACATGAATGTGCCTTTGGTTTGTGATAAAAATCAGCAACTTCTGTCAACAAGCTGTACCCTGAGAATACAGTGTGTGCTGTGAGTAAAGAGACTACCCCACCACCCCATTTAAACTTTACCCTGAACATTAGCAAATAAACAAAACACTGATGGGGATAAACAGAAAAATAAATGACCCTGCCCAGGAGATTTCTGCTGCATTTAAGGCCTTTAGTGTGTGTTGGCTGTGTGCGCACACATACTAAATTGGGATGTGCACCGTGTATTCAAAACTTTCAAGCTTTTCGTGTCAATGAAACACTCAAATGCAGTGGTTTATGATAATATCTAGGCTAAAATGCCCCCCCTCCCCAACACAACCCAAATGCAGTGCTAAAAATCAGGAAATTTCAGCACAGTCGCAATCAAATACCTTCAATAGATTCACAAGTTGCCAATTTGTTGCTTGAAAGCCTTCAAATTTAATGTTTCCACATGAAATGTGTGTAACAAAATGATCAAGCCCAAAAAGCATAGTCACGAGTGCTAACTGCAGCTAAATTGCTAGAATACATTTCAGCATATAAACCACCTTTATAGACCAAGGCAAGAGCATAACAAACACGAAGCACTTCCTTTCTTAACCGTTATAAAAATGTCTGCATACAAAAAAGAAAAAAGAAAACCCAAACTATTCTATAGATTGAGCTATTACTTTGGTCCCCTTCCAGTAATCTGTCTTCATTTATCTATACTTCTTTTTCTTCAGTTAGAAAAATAGATCCTAAAGGGACTATTACACGTGGAATGTTTCCTTATAAAAATATTTTCATTTTTCCAAGAGAATGAAAAATTAAGCAACAGAGAAATTTGCCCCCCCCAAAAAACAAAAGTGTGTGTTTGTCAGTATGGTGATTGTCCCAGTTTAATGGCGTCTGGTGTGTGTGTCTGCATTGAGAATGCATAGATCGTCACTGCGAGAGAGAAAGAGCGAGATCAGATGTTAATCTGCATCCCTGTGGCTAATCTGGACAACATTTGTATGTTTGCGTCTCCGTTTTGGGAGTTACAGTAATGTGTGCTCATGTGTGTTTTTGGGTCTATTTATGGTGTAATTTTTAAACGAGTCGAGAGGCGCAGTTCATTCAGGCTTGGGCTCGGGGGTTTCACTCTTCACCTCGCTCTCCTCCTCACTATCACCGCCGCCACCACTGCTGCGAGGAATGGTGCGGCGTGTGGTGAAGGGGAGGTCACCACGCCTGAAAGAGAGAGAAAGGAATTTATAAATGAGAAGAAAAAAAAAACCCCCAAAGAAGACATAAGTAATGTGTTTTTCTAACTAAAGTGCAATGTCTACAAAGAAATGTAAGAAAAAAAAATTAAGAACAAATATATTAAAGGCTTATTTTGCAAATGGTCCCTAATTGAGGTTCAAGTCAAAACACTATCATGCAAAGTAAAGCGAAATGTGGAGATTATAGTCGTTTCAAGACAAACTGCCACAACTGCTAAATGGCCCTGTGTAGAGTTAGCAGATATCTCATCGTGTCTTGTGATATATCCTCATGTTTATTGCATGAGCGTGTAACCGTCAATATCCTGTCTACTATGTCAAATCCAAATGGCTGGCACAAGCAGAAGAGGGCAGCTGGGGGGAGGGCAGGTAGGCAGTTTGCCTGCTTCCTGCACTTTCAGCTGATCTGTGCAGGACTGCTACAGCTAGCTCAAGATGAGTATATATCTATATTCTTAGTTAGCGTATTGTCTGTCTTGTTAATGTTGGTTTATAATGGAGCACTGTTAAAAAAACAAACAAAAAAAAACATTTCCCCCAGGGATCAATAAAGTATTCTGATAATAATGAAAGCCTCTGCTGTGTTACAGGTGCTTTTCTCACCTGAGCTTGCTCTTGAGGCTGTTGACTTCACGGTTCATGGCATCAGCAGACTCTGTGGCATCCTCCAGCTCCCTCTGAAGTTTTCTTCGGCTGGCGTTGGCTCTCTGAGCCTCCTCCTCAGCCTCCTCCAGCTGACGCTTGAGCTGCTTCATGCGAGAGTTCAACTTGTCGACCTGAAGGAGAAGAGAAAATATAAATAAAAACAATTAAAAACTTTTGCTTGAGCCCAGATAAAGTTAGAAGCACAAAAACGTCTCCCTTTGATGAAGGCTACAAAGCTAATGTCAAAATAGATCTGATTTCGATTTGGAGCATTACATTATTTTCAATTCATTTAAATATTTGACTTGTTGCATAATGCACAGATATTCATAGTCATCATTGTAAATACTCAGAAAAGCCACAACAGGGAGACAGATGACCCTCTGAGTTTACTGTAAAGAAACTCTCACCTGGTCCTTGTACTGCTCGGTGTTGCGCCTCTCGTCGTCCACCTGCAGGATGACTTCTTTTAGTTTCTTCTCGCTGCGTCTCACAAGTTTGGTGGCAGTCTGCCTCTCCCTGAGTCACAAACATAACAGTCAGACAAAAGACACTTTTTTTTTCTAATATGGTCATCTCAGGCCCCACTAATCTGTGGATCTAACCTATTTACAAGAGATAGCCAATCAGAAGAAAGCTGGCTTAGCTGGAAGCAAGTCTGAAATAACAATTGTGTCCGTGTGGTTCCGCTTCAGTGGCTTTTACCTGGTTTCTATATCCAGCTGTTCCTCCAGCTGACCAATCTTAGCCTCCAGGGCGGCCATGTTGGCCTTGTACTTTGACTTGACCGTTCCCTCGAGCTCCTGCAGCTTCAGTTTCAGCTCCTTGTTCTGACGGTCGAGCTGGGAACGAGCCCCCTCGACACGCTGAGAGGTGCTGCGCTCTGCAGTCAGCTCGACGTTCATCTGGTCAGTCTGAATGTAAAAATTAATCAGTTATTTCCATTCTACATATTAAATGTTTAAGCATCTTTAGTCATCTGAACTTCAAATCAGAGTCTAAAAATGTTTGCATGTGTATACAAACCTGAAGCATTGCCTTCTTCAGCCTGTCGTTGACCAGCTCAGTGTTGCACTGCTCCTCCTCCAGCTCTTCCTCCAGCTGAGCAATACGAGCCTCCAGTCGCCTCCTCTCCTCTGCAACCTGAGCGCTAAGAAGAGGAAGGAGGGAGAGCAGAGATTAAATATGGCACAAGTAGAGATACTGAACACTTCTGGTCTGCTCATTTTACTGATGACTGAAGTCTTACTTCTTGGCGGCTTGGTTATTGATCTCATCCTGCAGCTCGTCTCTCTCCTGCTGGGCCTGCCTCTTTACTCGCTCTGCAGCCGCCAGCTCCTGCATAGCAATAAACAAGAAAATGCAGTGAGTTAAAGTAGATCACAGAGCAGGGGCACAGAACACAGAGGTGAATGAGTGAGTGTATGCCAACCTCCTGCATCTGGAGCATGTCAGCCTCCATGCCCTTTAGCTTCTTCTCAGTCTCCTTGCTCTGGGTGAGAATCTCATCTCTGGACAAGCGAGTGTCGTCCAGCTCCCGGATGAGATCTTTCATCTGGGCCTGAAGACAAAAACACGAGAAGAGTCAAAAAGCTGAGACCAAACCCCATGTTTCCTATTCAAAGATCAGATATAAAAAGGCAACACTCACCTGA